CAATTTACATGCTAAGTGATATTTAGTGATTAAATGTATAAAAAATTTTAATATCAAATTGGGGGACCAGCAGGTGGCAAGGTGGTTAAGGCACTGGATTCTCACATGACTTACCAGTTTGAGTATCAGCCCTAGCAACTTGAAAATTATGCTGAGTGCATGTGCATGCATGCCCAAAATCCCAAGAGAAGAATTGAGGAGAGGGGATTATAGTGTGGCCATCCCCTCTGAAGGGCGATTTCTCACTGTCTCTCTGTCTCTCTCCAGTGAGTGCACATGTTATATAACAAAAACCCAAAACATAAAATAAGATAAAATGTCAAATGTGGCCAGCCGGTGATGTGGTGGTTAAAGCAGCTGGATCACACATGGCCAGTGGCACGGTTGAGTTTCAGACCTGGGTAGTTCAGAAAACTTGCCAGTGCATGTATAAAATCCCAAGAGGATGGAAGTGAAAGGAATTGCAGCATGACCACCCCCTCCCCAAGGGAATTGCTTTCTCCTCTCTCAACCTCTCTCTCTCTCTTTCTCCAGAGCCCTCTAGCAGATTTTTAAAAAAAAGAAAGAAATGTTAAATAGAGTCATACATGATCTAACCTTTTCAGACTGTCTTCTTTCACTTACCCATAGCTAACTAAGATTCATTTATGTCTTTTTGTGGTTTGATAGGCCATTCCTTTTCATTGATGAATAGTGTTATATTATGTGGTTGTACCCCAGGTTGTTTATCCAGTCACCTACAGAAGGACAAGTCAGTTACTTCCAGTTTTTGACAGTTGTTAAATAAGCTGCTATAATATATTCAAAGCAAAATTTTTATGTGGGCATAAAACTTCAGATTAGTTGAGTACATTTTTAGTCTTCTGGATCATGCAGTAGGACTATTTTCAGCTTTGTAAGAAACTCACTAACTTCCTTCAAAGTGACTATATTATTTGCATTTCTACCAGCAATAAATAAGAATTCCTGTTCCTCAGCATTCTTGCTAATTTTGTTTATTTTCATTCATTTTAGATACTCTAATTTGAAATGAATGTAGCTATTCTAGCTTGCTTTTATCAGTGTTAGTATGATGTATCTGTTTCAATCTTTTTATAGTTAATGTTCCTGAGTATTTATACTTTAAGATGAATGTCTTATAGACAACATACATTTCAGAATGATTCTTTGTATTCAATCTCTGACATTCAGTTGGTGGATTTAGGCCATTCACACTTAAAAGGATCATTAATATATATCATATATTTGACTTGTTTATTGTTCACTTGATTATTCTTTGTTTCTCTTTTCCTCTTTATCTGCCATTCTTTTACTAAGAATGTAGTACAATTCTTTTGTACCTCCTCAGCATATAAAACATACCTCTTTAAAAAATTACTACTTGTCCTAGATTTCAAATTTGCATTTAAAAATTTCATGATAGAGGCTATGCTCATACAAGCAAGAAAGAGAATCACCCTCTGTAGGATTCAGTCATGCTACCACCCCCTTCCTCCAAGCCACCAGGATCCTGGTCATGCATGCCTGCACCTGGTACATCTTCAGGTATACCTTGCCAGGCACTGAAACTGGGGTTGGCATGTGGCTTGCAGCTCCAAGCTTGATCTGGTACAGTACTGGCTATGCCACAGGTACTAGGCATACAATGTTCATTTTTAATAAATTTACATTATGTGCAGTATAGATACCTTATAAAAGTCTTCCCTTTCATTGTTTGTAGTATCACTATCATTTATTTCACTTATACATATACTATAGTCACCTGGTACATTGTGACTTATTAATTTATGTTTTAGGTCAGTGAAAAATCAGAGAGCATTTTATTTTACCTTCCTCTATTCAGTTCTTCCTCTCTTTATGTAGGTCCCAGTTTCTGACCTGTATATCTTTGTAGTAACTATTAGAAAATATAGAAAGAAACTCAGTAAGAACATAGACAATCTGATCATCATTAGATGCACAGAATCTTGGAAAAATAGTACATTTCATTATTTTAAAAGTTTTTAGCAAACCAGAAAGATAATGGGAACATTCTGAGTTTCTTAAAGGAAATTCTTAAGAACCTAAAGCTAAAATAAGACAGAATGGTGAAAAATTTAATGTTTCCATCTAGGCTCAAAACAAAGGAGGGAGATCTTATTTAATTCTCTGCTCAATTCTTTCTGTTTGAGGTCCAAACTATTGCAGTAGGCCCAGAGAAGGAAATGCAAGGCATACTGACTCAAAAGAAGAAATACAACTGTCTTTATTGCAAACAGCAGCATAGTCAATATGGACATTCCTAAGAATGTTTTATTTAAAAAACAAAACCGTAATTACTAAGTGAATGTATTGTGTTTGTAAGATACATGTTTGATGTACAGAAATCAATTGTAATTCTTTACACCAACAATAAACATATAAAAATGGCCTCAAAAAGCAAGTACCTTGCCAATGGCATCACAATACATAAGATGTTGACATAAGCAACATGGAGGCCAAGCATGGTGTTGACAAGAGCTTTCAGTGGAAGTGGTGGAGATTAAAAAATTCTACTGGAGTGTTTTTATTGGGGGCAGAAACAGTTCTTTGATGTAACTGTTCTGACAGTTGCCAGGAGGGATGGAAGCAATGATCCTGAGCAAGAGCGTGAAAACCCGAATAATCTCCAGTCACTTGAACTGAAGTTCTGTAGCTGTGAAAGATGAAGACTGCATTAGCCTGGGCCAGACTACAAGAACACATCCACCTCTCCTCTCCTCTCCTCACCCCGTAAAACTCTAGTCCTGTTTCAGTCCCTCCTGATGGCACAAGCTGAGTAAATCCTTCAAACAAACAAACAAAACCTGAGACGTTTTGGAATGAATTTATTGGAAGGTATATAATACCTCTACATTGAAAACTGGAAACATGGGTGAGAAAAACTAAAGAAGGCCTGAGTAGATGGAGAGCTATTACCAAGTTCATATTAGAAGATTCAAAATGATCACTTCTTATAATAACATTAGTTATACTTCAGTGCTATCATTTTGTGGCTCCAGTTTCAGGAGCCTGTTCAGGCTTTGGGAGCACCTGTGTCCTTTCTATATTCTGCATCATTTCATAAACACTTCTTCACTCCCGGAAAGATGACAAAATAGCTCATCTTGTATTTTCCTTGCTGAAGGTCCAAGAATAACTAAAATCCATGCAGTGAAAAAACAATAATGAATCAATTGGACTTGCTCAAAATTAAAATGAAATGAACAGACAGAAGACTGGAAAGTAACTGTGTACAGTAATCTCATTGACTTGCTTGACATGCCATGCATTTCTGCCTTGAGAACCCACATAGTATGCTGTGAAAATGTACACTGGTTAAGTGTAAATTAGAAATAAATAAAAATGAAATGAACAAAAAGGCATGTCACAGAATGAATTGTAAATCACCTCTCAAAACACGAACTTGTGTCTAAAACATACACTGAGAAACTCAAAAATAAGCAGATGAACATCTCATTTAAAACTTGGCAAATGACTTGACAGTTCACAGAGAGAACATACACAAGGTGAATAAGCCCAAGGAAAGATGCTTGACATCATCACCTCTCAGGGAGATGCCAGCAAAAGCCAGTATGAGGCCCCACAACACATTTCTCAAAACGACAAAACTAAGAAACATCCATGATTCTGAGTACTGGGGAAGGTGCAGAGGAATGGGGATACTACGTCACTGATGGGAAGGCAGAACTGTCTAGGCATCTGGAAGACAATTTGGCAATTTCTTACATCGTATAGCCTGTGCTTACCACAGGACGTAGCAGTTCCGGTCTCAGGCATTTACCGTGGAGGAGTGAAAAGGTATAGCCACACGGCAGCCCACAGCAAATGCTTATGGCGGCCTTGTTTGTGGTTGCCAAAAGCTGGAAACCACCTTCAGTGTCTGACTAGACAACGAGAAAACCTCCGGTTGCAGACTTGCAGTGCACTCCCGCTCAGCAGTGAAATAGAGCCGCCTGGGGATGCACTGAAGGGCTTGGAGGAGCCTCCCAGGCATCGTGCTGATTGAGAGGAGCCACTCTCCAGCACCCACATGCTCTGAGATTCCTTCTGTGGAACATCCTTGTGAAGACAGAAATAGAGGGATAGAGAACAGATTGGGGGTGCAGGGACAGCACGGGGGGCTTTTCCAGGGTGGCAGAACTGTTCCATGTCCTACCTGTGGCTCTGCAAATCTGCATGTGCATTAAAACTCAGAACTGTATGCCAAAAGGAAACTATCCATGTCACTGTAGGATAATTGATAAGGAAAAGGAATGACTGATAAGTAGCTTGGGGGCAGGGTGGGGGCAGTGGGGCTGCAGGGAGAAAAGCTAACAGAAGGAAGCCAGGCCAGGGGACAGTCCCCCAGGGCTTGTCCTGCAGGCTCGCGTGTGGGCATGGTGGAATGGCAACACACACAGAATGCCCCTTGGCAGGGGTGCCTTTGGCACCAAACATACATCTGCCAAGCATGCTAACTACAGGGAGTTGAGGATGGGGTGGGGCTCCGAGAAAGGCCAGGCAGGTCAGGCTTCTGAGACACATGTTCCCAAATGTGTGTAGGATTGCTGTGCTGCCTAGGCAGGGTATGTTGTGATGAGACCTGTAGGTGCACAGGAGGGGGAGGGGATCCTCCCACATCCCTCCAGAAGCCATGAAACCACTGGAGCCAGGCAGAGCCTGATTAAGTGCCTAAGCGTGAGTATGTGAGTGAGGAGCGTGAGAATACATGAGTGAGGAGCTGGGACCTTAAGAAGTGCAGGGGCCCAGGAGGCAGGTATAAGACTCCCCAAAGGCAAAGGGACTGGCGAGGGAGTGGCAGGCTCACCCCGATACACCCACGTCTGCATCTTCCCATGTGCCTCACAGCAGACTGGAAGGCAGTCCGCCCTCACTGCAGCTCATGCTGCCTTCCAGGAGAGGCCCAGAAAGGGTGGAAGTGCTTCCCTCCAGGAGCAGCAGAGGCTCTCACCAGCTTTCTTCTCTCCAACGTCACCCAGGTCGTGTGTGTGCCCCTGTGGATTCTCATGTCCTTCCTGTGCCTGGTGGTTCTCTACTACATCGTGTGGTCCGTCCTGTTCTTGCGTTCCATGGATGTGATTGCAGAGCAGCGGCGGACGCACATAACCATGGCCCTGAGCTGGATGACCATAGTCGTACCTCTTCTGACTTTCGAGGTAAGCTGTCCACAGGCCCCGTGTCCACTGTTCCGTATGCAGTGCCCCTCAGGCCTTGAAGGGCAGCCCGCCAGCCCCTTCTGAAAGGATGTTGAATTTCTGTGTGGGATTCTGCGGAGAGTTCTCGAATGGGCACTGTGCACTCCTTAGGACAAACAGCAGGAGGTTGGCCAGAGGACACTGCTCGAGTGGAGGACTTTTGCTTGGTCCTGAAGAGGGATGAGAAACTTGTATCGTTCTTCCCCTAGAGAGAGGTGGTTTTTGGCAGTTTCCAGCAGTGCTGCCTTTCCTCCTGAGGCCTGTTGGGAGCAGGTCTCTGTGAATCCTAGCTTCAGATTGTACATTTTCAAATGCCATGTCTACAGGAGCCTAACATGTCTCTCGCTTTAGATCCTGCTGGTTCACAAACTGGACGGCCACAACGCGTTCTCTTGTATACCCATATTTGTACCCTTGTGGCTCTCCCTGATCACTCTGATGGCGACTACGTTTGGACAGAAGGGAGGAAACCACTGTATGTACTCAGTGTGGCAGAAGCCCTGGGCTCGTGCGCGTGTATGTGTGTGTGTGGGAGGGGGCGTGCTCTGAGGGCCCTAATTAAGGAGCCAGCCTGTAAAGCGAGGACCCAGGAAAGCCTGAGACCTGCCTGCCAAGGGTAGTGTGTGCTGTCATCTTGGATGACACTCTTGCAGGCAGGAAGATTGGAGGCAGGAGATGAGACAGAGGACCACAGGTATCAAACCCCTCTGGAGGGCGGTCTGCAAGCCCCTATACCCATCAGGAGTCCGCTGCCCTGGCCCTACCCAACCAGCTATTTCCCACTCAGGAGGTCCAGGCGTCTACCCAGCAGTCGCACCCCAACAAGGGCCCTGGGGATATTGCTATTGCCGCTGGGTTTCAAGCCCTGCTCTGAGAGCCAGGGAGCTAGAGCTTTACTCTTTGCATTGATTGGGCATTCAGATCCTGTTTGGTCTTCATTTCTAAGAGATCTGGACACGGCATTCCAGAGTCTGAGTAAAACTTCTGACCAGGACAGAAAAGCAACAAGAGAATCAGACAAGAGCTCCATGTTGAAAAAAGAACCTTCTTGTTTTCCAGGGTGGTTTGGTATCCGCAAGGATTTCTGTCAGTTTCTGCTTGAAATCTTTCCGTTCCTGAGAGAGTATGGAAACATCTCCTACGACCTCCACCACGAAGATAACGAAGAGGCCGAAGAATCCCCAGTTCCAGAACCTCCTAAAATTGCTCCCATGTTCCGGAAGAAGACCAGGGTGGTCATCACCCAGAGCCCTGGGAAGTACGTCCTCCCTCCTCCCAAATTAAATATTGAAATGCCAGACTAAGCACCACTCGTGGGGAGGGAGCCTGAGTGGACCGGACCTGCCCTCTCCAGCTTCCTCTGCAGCCTCTGTATTTGCCCCACAACCCGAGCCAAGCCCAAGCCAGGTGTCTGGGTGCTCCACCCCAGCCTTGTTTGCATCCGATGCCTATCAACCACTCACCATGAAGGGACATGAAGGCAGTAGAGGCCTGGGGTATGTGTCAGCAGACTTGGATACCAACAAGAGCAAGAGGGCCAAATTGAGTACAGGCGGTCCTGCGGGGCCCTTGGCTCCAGCGCACACTCATCGTACCGCTTGGGGGTGGCTGCAGAAGGGACAGCTGTCGACTGGTGTCCAAATTGCTGGAGTGGTGATCAAGTGTTGTTTGAAAATGTCTTCCCCCAGACAGGGCTGACCTGCACATGAGGCTCAGAGCCGCCAGCTGTAATGCAGCTGGCTGGTGAGGAGGCCTGTCGTCTGCCTCTGCTCACCATGTGTCCGCACGCAGCACAGCCACCATGGTTCCTGGCCCTGCCCTGTGGGCGTGTTCATTTTCAGCCTTCTCAGTGAGGCCTTCCTAAGGTAATTACTCCAAGCCCGTAGAGTATTTATACCGACGTTCAGCATTATTTCGGCCGGTGTTAAACCCCAGCTCTGGACAGTACACTCTGTCACAGTATTTTTTTTTACAAGCTTGGGCTGGAGAAGCCCATGACCCGCTACAGAAGGAGAGGCAGGACACACCTTCCCGGCCCCCCTGCCTCCAGAAACCGGGCCCAGCCATTGGTCCCCTCCAGGGACCAAGTAGCTGCTACTGCCAGAATACCCGGACAAAGACACAGGGGTTGTGCTTTCACAACAGTCCCAACACTGGCTAGCCAGTAACCCAGAGGGAGTTTGATGAAGACCAACACAGACAGGCGAACTCCCACCCCATCCCACCTGCAATCCAGATTGAGCCAGCCAGTAGTTCTGGACACCAGACAGACTGAGGCTGCAGGCTCGACCAACCTGGTCCTATCATTCATCCTCTGACCCTTCCCACTAGCCTACAGAACCCTCCAGAGCAGAGAGGACCGTGCACGTGTGTCTGCGTCACAACCTGGAGCTTTGTCTCTGCCAGCAGCAAGAAAGCTTCAGACCAGGCCCCATGTTTCCCATGGGCGGCTGTTTCCTGAGCAGCACAGTGCAGCCTGAATCAGGTCTCACCAGAGGCACACTCTTCTGCCTCCAAACAGAGAGGCCATTTGTGCAAGGAGAGTAGAAAGGAGCAAAGACCTTCCCCTCTGCGGGAAGAGTGAGGCTTTAATGCAGCAAACTTCACAGTGGCCCCAGTTGGGCTAAATTTCAGTCCACCTCAGACCTAACTCTACCCCTGGCATTGACCTCAAGCAAGCCTGTTCTGTTTGTGGGGAGGGGCGGGGCAAATGGTTTGGGACAGCCTCTCCGGCTCTGAGTGTGAAAACAATCTGGCCAAATCCACTATTTTTGCTCCCTGTAGCTGTTAATAAACTGGTTCCTCCTTTTACACATGCACTGTCTGTATCTCATTTTATCGGTGGGCTGGGAAGCTGGAATGTCCTCCACCCAGGTCAAAGGAAACCTCTAGTTGGTGACAGACAAGGCACACAGGAGTGGGGGGGTATCTGTCACCGAGAGTCTTTCTCCGAGTGACAGCCTGCAGGGGATACAGAGGGAGAGAGAGACAGTGTCATCAAGGTTCTTCCCCTGGCTGGGTGACACCATGCTGCAAGTAGTACAGCTCAGGAGGCTTTCCGGAGTGCCTCAAGACAGTCTGCAAGTGGCATCACCTTTCCAGGGCTTCTGGGTATCCTCGGGTCACGTAGACAGCTGAGGACTGCCACCATTTCCACAAAATGCTCTGGGAGCACCTCCCATCAATGGGCCTTAACCTGCCTATACTGGGAGGTTAACTCAGCAGGCGCATCAGCCCACACTTGGCTGCAATTGACAGGAAAGCTCACTGGTTGCTGTGGATGGAGGGCGTCGTGCAGGAAGCCAAAATCCAGGCCTGTACATCCTTTCCAAGCTCTGATATTTCAGATGTTCTGGGCAAGAAAACACCCTTTTTGGCGAGAGCGGTAGCTATGACTCAACTACCAGATGCCTGGCTGCCTCCCGGATGTAGGCCCGAATCCTCCCGAGCCTGGGCAGCAGGTGCTACTACTCCTTTCTCTGAGAGGAAACAGGCCGAGGGAAGCTGAGGGGCATGACATTCCCAGAGTCACTCAAAAGCTGTGGAGGACCAGCAAGAGCTGCGAATAGGCTGGGCTGAGACGCCAACGTGGACAGCCTGCTTGCAGGCCCCCTCTCTTATTACCCACCGCGCCAGAGTGTCTCAGGCCTGCGGCTCGTCATACCTCCAGTGTGGAAGAGTGCCGACGTAGGGAAGTCTCTGGAAGAACATCGGGCTCCGTGACCACCGTGTCGAGAGAATCTGTGAACAGGCGGCCCTCTGTATGGGGACACTGTGATGCAGAGGCTGCTTTCGGTGGATGCCTGTAACGGGACCTCCCAGCACCGCACTAAAAGAAGGCTCCCAGAGGTCAGATACGGGCAGAACACAGCGTGTGTGTCTCTGGACTTGGGGTCAAGGGAAATCAGGTTCCTGGGAAGGCCAGTGGACATGTGCCGAATTGTGGCATGGCTGTCAAGTGCCAGAGTTTGGAAGGGTGACTGCTTGGTGAGGGGTCCCTCGCAAGCTGAGGAGAGGCAGGAAGAGGGTCGAGTCACATTCTGCTCCCCACCAGACTGGCAGACGACAGTGGGGGAGTTGGCTAACCCCCCGCCTAAGCGGGCATCTGCCTCTCCTCCACCTGACCAAGGGCACGGAAGTGTTATCAGGGTCTCTGTAGGGGATGGCCGTGGCAGTGTGAAAAGGGTGGCGTGGGTGGGTACTGCCCTAGACTTGGTGCCGTGCTTGCCAGCATCACCCTGGGCTATGGTACACGGGCCCGTGGATTTGGACAGTGACCTCCTGTCTTCCTTAGCCTGTGCTTCCTCAGCACCGGCCCCAGGAGCTGGAGGACAAGAAGACAGTTCAGGGTTTGTGCCTCAGCTCTGGCAGGGCACCGAAAACAGACGCACACTGGTGGCATCTTTCCACTGAGACGACGCTGTGTGCTAGGGGGTGGACATGTTGCCAGCTACTGGTCTCCTCAGCCCTTTCATTAGCTCACGCGCCAGGACTGTTGTGATATCACTCCCAAGCAACCTGGGCCCCTTTGTGATGTCCTGGGGCTACATCAGTAACCAGCGGGACTGTAGGCCTTTAGTAACTAGGGCTGCACTCTCATGTTGAAGTGAGTGAAGGACAAGCCACCTCTCGGGATGGCTAAAAGTGAGGAATGGAAGCCAGGAGGCCAGAGGCACAGCCTCAGAACAGCATCTCTTCCCTCAGAAACGAGGACTTCCCTTGTGGACACAGAGTTCAGCCCTCCTCCGGAAGACCTCAGCTCCTCCCAGGACATCCTGGAGCCCTTGGAGTACCCTGATTTCAGGCTGCTACTGGAAGAAATTGCTCGCCAGGCTTCGATCGACGAGCCTTTTTGGACAAAGCCACTGAGCCTCTATGAGTTTCTGGCTCTGGGAGAAGAAGATCTCCTCTCTCTCCCCTTCCCCCAAAAGCTGTGGATCGTCGCCAACAGCACCTACTTTGTGTCCATATGGTGGGACGATAGCGGCACATGTATAGGGATCAATGAAAACCTGTTTCAAAAGGAGGTTCTGGAAAGGACCCGCCCCTTCAAGGTGTTTGACACAGACGACATGAAGAGCTTCAAACACGAGTTGCACCTGTACGGCTTCAACGAGACGCATCAGGACGTTTGCGCATCCCTCCACCTCTTCGACGAATTCACCGAAGAGACTACAGTCTATGTCATGAGCACGGTAACTGAGGACGAGCCTCTTGAAGGGCTCTGGGGCTGGGTTGGGCAGAGGATCCATAGGAACGGGGTGACCTCAGGTGGGGTACGGAGCTGTTCCGTGCCTGTGTCCCTCTCAGGGCGGTGGTGACAAAATCAAGAGTTTATCCCCGGAAGGTACTGAGGACGGGCCAGCCCACCTCCTGTGTGTAACGGATCAGAGCTGTGCAGTCACTCTGCCTACCTGCAGGTTCCTTCTCCCTGGGGCCAAGTGTCACCTGGTGGATCCACATGACTTTATGACTCCATAGTGTTTTAAGCTGTGGCAGGGTAGGGGATCCATTCCTGCCGGCATATTAGTGCCCCAAGGGTCGTTTGCGGATGAATGCGAGCCCTAAGGCCTATGAGGGAGCCCGCAGAGGCTAGCATAAATGTGTATGCTTCTCGTCTCAACCAGGCCATCCTTCCCCGGTGTGGAAGAACCAACTACCAGGGGTGCCCACCCAGGGACTACTGAATGCCGTTGCTGGCTGACGGGCTGCTAGGGAGGCACCACCTCTTCTTCTCTCCCCGCCTGCCACTCCCAAGTCCCTCGTTGGCCTTGTAGTCACCCTCACGTGCCACTCTCAGGCGTCGTCAAAGGGGAAAGTGCTTGTCATCGCAGGTGAATCTTGAGGATGGAGAACAAAGTCCACAGCTTCCTTGTGGGCCCATGACCTTTCTCTAAGAGGCCTCCCAGGTCCACTAGAGTTCTGTTGCACGGGGGCATAGAGTTGTAGGCAGCTTTACTAATGTGGAGTTTCCTTTTCCTTTTTCTTTTTCTTTTCCATTTTGAATGGTAGCTAAAGTTCTACTCCTGTCCATTCTTTAAAAAAGACTCACCTCACCTTCTCGAGAGGATGAGGAGAGTGGGCATGACGTTTGACTCGCGCCAGTCAGAGAGTAACCCTACACTCCCCAAACAACAAAAGAGCCGAAAGACTCCCATTGCGGTGGATGGGAAGACTCGACTGGAGGACCAAGAATGTGTCTGTCACCTCACCAGGAGGGACTTTGTGCCACTAGCAGGTGCTGACAAAGTGCCCGGGCCCACCCCAGTGAATGGTGAGGCTCCAGTAACCCAGCCAGCCAACTGGTGGCCAGAGATCGCCCAGGCTCACTTTGCTCTGCTGTGGGACGTCACCATGCCCGCAGAGTTCCCGTACAATTTAGACGCCCCTTTGACCCAGATGAGTATCTATGAGCCTATGCAGGGCCTTCCTACCATGCTTCCTAGGATGTGCACCCTGCCGACCGCACAACCGCTGGCTGAACTGCTGCCAATCTGCCATCCCTCGATGCCCGTGCCCATTGCGGCCGACGGGCCTGACAACCCCGTGGTCATGGGCCACCATCTTCCGGCTCCGTTCCACTGCCGTGCCGACTACCACTGTGTTGCAGAGCAGGTCGTGGCAGCTACTGATGGGCTCCCGATGTCCCCGGACGATTCAGACTCGCCCAGATAAAGGCCAACACTTGGTCAGAACAGATTGTGCTGGCCAATGAAAAGGGTCAGAGTACGAATAAAGCTTTGTCTGCACTAAAGCAATTGTCGTCTCTGTCGTTTTTCCTTCTTGGTAGTCGAGAGAGCTTTGCTCACCCAGTGAAGGTTTCACGCTAACGCCACTCCCTGGCATAATGCAGGTGCTGAGCAGACACTCAAGCAGGTCATATGTTCACTTAGGCCCCCAGACAGCCTGCCTGCCCTCATTAACAGAACCGTTCAACCCTTGGCAGTACAGACACCTGGCTTTGGTGAACAAGCGTTCACAATGGCACTCAGTTGCTGCTGGCCATCTGGACCCGATGCCCCAATGTGGTGGTGCCTTTCCATGACAGGGCCTTCCCTCACAATGAGAAGCGACCAGGTCTTGCTTCGTAACTGGGCTCCAAAGTGCCCTTTCCACGAGATGTGGAGGTGGCAGGCACTGCCAGCGAGTCCTACCGGTCTGCATGTTAGAGGTGCTCCCTAGTGTGTGGGTTGCAGGATTTATGTGTGGCCTCGGTGCCACATACTGGAGCTAGTGACATTTTCTTTCTTCCCTACATTCTCCTGCATTTATTTGGAAGGGCATCTTGGCTCAACGTAGGAAGGAACTGTTTCTGGTCCCTTCGGGTGTCTAAGTTATAACACGTGTCGTGATCAGCGAGTCTCTGCACAGGGTGATTTGTCTTTGTGATCGTAGGAAGTCAACTTTCATGTCCTTACCGTGGCAGTGATTGAAAATAGGCAAACGAGCTCTGAAGTCAGGCTGTGGAGAGAGCCCCACACAATATACCACGACCCAAAGGTACACTTCTCATCGCTTGTCACTTGACAGGAATTGAGAAGGTCCTGTGGGAGGTGGCAAGAGTCGATAAGAGAACGAAAACTTGGGGTGCATTAGACAAGTCTTTGTCATCCAGAGTCTACCAGTGGTCTCCAGGTAAAAGTCCCCATCTGTGCCTGGTCACTTGTAAATCGATGCTGCTTCACAAAGGGGTGCTAATCGCCTTTCTAAGATCCATGTATTTGTGAATTCCGTTGAGAAGTGCAATGCCCTCATCTCAGTTTTGCTCTTCCACGTGCTTGGTGGTGTGGAGGCACGTGGACATGCTGCTACTTAAAACCTAGCCGATTTCGTCATCGATCACGTGTAAACCTACTTAGGATGCCGCAAACTGTGATGAATATAGAGTTCTTTGCTTTTCAGAAAAAGCCTAGAGAGAGTTTAAGTTGTCGTGGCTGCAGGTGTTGCTTCTGCATCTAACACATAGAAAGAAGCATAGTCACGTCGCTGGACTCCCACGTAGTCGCCCATGGTTCGAGTCCCGGACGCAGTGGCTTAAAACTCAGGCCAGGCGCGTGAGCATGCATGCCCAAGGTCCCGAGGGGAGGATGGAGGAGAAGGGATTGCGGCGTGGCCATCCCCCCTGGGGGGTGATTTCATGCTTTGTCTCTTTGTCTCTGTCTCTCTCCAGCGAGCGCGCGTGCCCTATAGCAAAACCTCTCTTCAAAAACATAAAAAAGCGGCAGCAGCAGCAGCAGCAGCAGCAGTAGCAGCAGCAGCAGCAGCTAGAGGTGCTGCCAAATATCCTGTAGTATCCAGGACAGCTACCCTCAGCCCATATACAAAGACGGAAGCACCCCCAAATGTCAACAGTGGCACCTGTGGGCGAGCGATCCTGCCCAGGGACACACCCTGCATCCCATGGTCTGTCTATCAACTTCTTTCCTTGTCCTACTCTCTTTTAAAGGCAGGATGGGGAGAAAACAAACGCTCTCCCCCTCCAAGCACAAACAACAATTCAGAAGTTCGGGTGCAGGTGAAATGCATGACAGTTGTGGTTGCCATGACTGTAGATCCAGTGGCACCAATTAAAAACTTCCTTGCAGGGACCAGCAGATTGCATAATGGTTATGGCACTGGACTCTCACATAGCCGAGTGTGGTTCGAGTCCCGGAGCCACCAGCTCATGCCAGGCGCACATGTGTGCGCACCCAACATCCCGAGAAGAGAATGGAGGAGAAGGGATTGTGGCATGGCCATTTCTGTCTCTCTGTCTCTCTGGTGAGTGCATGTGCCCTATAGCAAAAATCTCAAAAATGATCTAACAACAACCACAAAACCTTCCTCACAGAGAGGTAATATATTTGAGCTTTTTTTTTTTTTTGCCTTGTCTTTTTTAAAAAATTATTCTAATGTATTTTATACAGTAATCATTATACATCACTACAGCTTAGAAGATGAATTACCTGACATGAATGCATTTCACAGCAGTCCAGTTGAAGGTATAATACACAGTATCAACAATCTTCCATTTCTGTGTCCCCTAAATGTCTTCCCTCTCTATTTTTCTCCTTGATTACTTTGCTCTCACTCTCGCCCAACTCCCGTCCTCTTCCCACACTGTCTCCAGTATCCATAACCATTCTCCATGCTTCTATATCCCCCAGTCTTTCAGTTTCCACCATAGAGTGCAAACAGTCCACATATATTCAGTAGGAGCATGTGATGTCTCTCCTTGCTAGCCTGGCTTACTTTACTCAGCAGTAAATCCTCCATATTCATCCACTTTCTATCAAATGCCAGGGTCTGGGGGGTTTTTTCCTGGCTGAGTAGTATTCCATAGAGAATATGCACCGCACATTTACAATCCATTCATCTGTTTCTGGACGTTTGGGTTGGTTCCATGTCCTTGCAGTTTTGAATAATGCCACAATAAACGTAGATGTACATGCACTTTTCCAACTGACCGTTTTCCTATCCTTTGAGTAGTAGATTCCCAGGAGTGGAATTGCTGGATCATATGGCAATTCTTTTTGTCGATCTTTGAGGAACCTTCATAATGATCTCCACAGTAGCTGTACAAATTTACATTCCCACCAGCAGTGTAGGAGAATTTCGTCTTCAGGGTAGCCTTGCCAGCATTTTTCATTTTTTGTTTTTGTACTCTTAGCCATTCTGACTGGGATTAGGTGGTAGCTCACTGTGGGTTTGATCTGCTTCTCCCTTATGATAAGGGATACTGAGCATTTTTTTTTTTTTTTGGAGAGATTTTCACTATGGGCGTGTGCGCTCGCCAGACAGACAGAGAGAGACATAGAGACAAAAAGCGAGAAATCACCCCCCGGGGGGGGGGTGGTCATGCCGCAATCTCTTCTCCTCCATTCTCCTCTCGGGATCTTGGGCACGCACGCACACGCGCCCGGCGTGAGATTTTTAAGCCACCGGGTCCGGGACGCGAACCACGGTCGATTACGTGGGAGTCCAGCGACATAGCCATTACGCTAACTGCTGGTTCCCATGAGCATTTTTTCATATGATGGTTAGCTGTTCTCACGTCCTGCTTAGAGAGTTGTTTGTTCAGCTCATTTTCCCAGCCTTTAATTGGGTTAACCTTTTTTTTTTTTTTTTTTTTTTTCATTCAAGCCTCTTGTGTTCCCTGTGTATTCTGGTTATCAGTCCCTTGTCTGAGACACAGTTTACACAACTATTCTCACAGTCCAGGGGTTTTCAATTCACACTAACTACTGTGTTTTTGCTGTGCAGAAACTTTTTAATCTGGTGTAATCCCACTTGTCTGTTTTGGGGATTATTGCCTGTGCTCTGGGAGTCTTGTTTAAGAATTCTTTGCCTACTTCGATGTCTCTAAGAGTTTAGCCAGTGTTTCCCAGCGGTAGTTTTATAGTTTGGGGTCTTAGGTTTAGATCGTTGATCCACTTTGTTTTGATTTTTGTTAATGGTGAGAGATAGGGGTCCAGCTTCATCTTTCTGCAGGTGAATACCCAATTTGTCCAGCCACATTTGCTAAAGAGATTTTCTTCTTCTCACTGGATTAACTGGCACCCTTTGTCAAAACTCAGTTGGTTGTATGTTTTGGAGTTTATTTCTGGGATGTCTATTCTGTTCCATTGGTTCACATGTTTCTTTTCTTCCCAGTATGATGCTGTTTTGATTATTACAGCTGTGTAATATATTTTGGGGTTGAGGAGAAAGATGCCTCCTACCCCACTCTTACTGCACAGGGTTGCTTTGACAATACATGGTCTTTTGTGATTCCAGACAAATCCTATGATTGTCTTTTCTAGATCTGTGAAGAATATCAACACTAATTTGATTGCATTAAATATGTAGATTAATTTGGGTAGAATTGCCACTTCGTTTATATTAATTCTTCCAAGCCAAAAACATTGGATGTCTTCATTTTTGGGGTCATCTTCAATTTCTCTTTTAGATTTTCGTAGTTTTCCTTGTAGAGGCCTTTGACATCTTCGGTCAGATGTATTCCTAGGTACCTTATACTCTTAGCAGCTCTGGTCAATGGGATTAGTTTCTTCAGTTCTACCTCAGTCCACTTGTTGTTCATGTATAGAAATACTATAGATTTTTGTAAGTTGGTTTTGTATCCTTCCACTTTACTGCATGAATTTATCGCTTCTGGGAGTTTTTGTGTGGACACGTTTGTGTGTTCTATGTATTCAATCATGTCATCTGCAAATAGAGATCATTTCACCTCTTATTTTCCTATTTGAATGCGTTTTATTTTATCCATTCTTTCTGATTGCATTGGCTAGGACTTCCAGCAGTATGCTTAAAGGCAGTGGAGAGAGTGGGCAACCTTGTCCTATACCAGATTTTAGTGGAAAAGCTTTGCCCCCTTCAGAAAGATGGTAGCTGTTTTTTGTTTTTGTTTTTGTTTTGTTTTGTTTTGTTTGTTTGTTTGTTTGCTTTGAGAGGTTTTTGCTATAGGGCATGTGTGCTCGCCAGAAAATGAGAGAGACAGAGAGACAGAAAGCGAGAAATCACCCCCCAGAGGGGAAGGCCACGCTGCAATCCCTTCTCCTCCATGCACACACACTCACCCGGCGTGAGTCTAAGCCGCTGGATCCGGGACGTGGACCGCAGTCGACTACATGGGAGTCCAGCGACATAGCCATTACACCTCCAGGGACGTCCCGCGTCATAGCCATTACGCTAACTGCTGGTCCCTTAGCTGTGGGTTTTTCACAGATGGCTTTTATTGTGTTGAGAATGTCCCTTCTATGCCAATT